AATTCATGTTATGTTCAATTAAAATATTTTGCTACGTGTATAAAGCATGCAACCTACTACTCAAATGGATGTTTTAGTGCATTCCAAACGTATATACTACCGCTTCAATATGAACTAAATTTGAATTTGTTTCTCTATTTGAATAAGATCTACAACAATGATTATTGTGAAGTCAAATCATTTGAATTCGTTTCTCTATTTTAATAAGATCTACAATCATCATTGTTGTCAAGTTAAACCATCATTTGTGTATTATCTTCACAACACTCCACATGATTACTCTCGAGTTACATATGAACTATGTGTACTGTATGAACTCGAACTCGATTTTTTGAATCCACTTTATGTTGATTTCAAATCACAGTACATTTCAAAATCTAGCTAGATCTTCATAGTCTAAACCATGTCTCGTATGTATGGTGCCCCGCCCCCTACTCCTACAAGTATTTAGATGCGACTTGCAAATACCACACATTACCATAAATTCAAATAAAATGTGAGATTGTTCGATATATAGTATTGTTTAGATTGTTCGATACTTAGTCGTAAGCTGCAAACGCCACACATTATCACAAATTCAATTAAAATGTGAGATTGTTCTATGTATAGTAAGGTTTAGATTTTTTGACATTTAGCTATGAGTTGCAAACGCCATGCATTATCACATTATGGTATAACATGTGCAAAACCACAACACGTGTTTCACCGCTATACTCATGCATGCATATGTTTATAACACTTTGATCTCCTATTCAAATATATGAATCCACTTTCATATCAAATTATGATCTTTGTTAGTCTCTTACACCCCACACAATCCACTAACATTTGTAGCTAGCACTAACTTTCTCTCGTGCATGCACACACCCTCCTCGCCCTCCCCCTCCCCCAGCATTCTATCCATCACGCACATTCATTTTTTTAGGTCGTTCTCCCACAGTCTCCACAACTCCTTTCCGACACACACCGATTGATAAACCTCTCGAGCAATGTCTGCCTACAACATACACACACACCTTCCATCTCCTCCTTTCTGTGTCCATGCCTTGCCTCGTGTCTCTCATACGGTCCCACACACGTGTAAACTCTCGCCCCTCTTTTCATCGATCTCACAACCGCACACTCCTCCCCCTATCTAGCTAGTAGCTCGGCCTCTCGCACCACCTCCTAGCTCCATTCTCTCTGTCTATCCGTCTTGCTGGGCCTTATTTGCCTCTAACAAATGGACGTACACCGATCAATCTCCCGCTATACATATAGCTAGCTAGGTCCTTATAACTCATTTTTTTCCACGCGTCGATCGATCTACCTCATTAGCTATGTCTCTCCCTTCCTCCGACAAACAACAATTGATCTACCGATCTAGTTAGGTTTGCTTACCAAACACATGGTTCCCCTACATCATCCATCCATGCGTCCCGACAGATCCATCACGCACAGGCACACACAGAAACACATCCCCACTCTTATTGATAATATTGCAGTTCCACCCTCAGTTTGTCTAGTAGGCCTCTCCCACCATCTTCGAGAAGCAACTCCGTCACCCATCCAGCACTCTACCCCTCTCCCTCCCTCTCTCTCTCTCTCTGTCACATCCTATTTCCCGTCCTTCAGTTATGTATGGATGTCGACCGATCTCCCTCAAGACATAGCTGGGTCTCTCCTTCTCAACACATATACGAGTCGTTCTACCTCTATAGTTAGGCCTCTGCCTCCCCTCCCCTCCCCCCCAACCCCCCTCCCACACACACACACCGATACATCGAGCGCTATAGTCATGTCTCCCTGCCGCACACAAACTTTACCTGTGCCCTCTGACCTTCTGGTAGGTCAGTCGCCCTATATCTTTGACTTGCACACACACACAATTTCGATGGCTCTCTTCATAGATCTCGCACCCACCCACTTGATCCTCTCTTCGACTCTATCGATATCTATGACCCCTCCCTCTCTTCTCGTGGATCGCCCGACCCTCTATATATGATATGGATAGGCCTCCATTTCACACACATTGCATGCAAAATTTTGTTTGAGATGTCATTGACACATATTCCCACAAATACATTCACGAAATCACCCGCCCCCCAAACAAAAAACACTCACGAACGCACACGATGGAGCTCATTTCTGTACGAAAAGGCGGCCCACGTGGTAATTTGACACGTGTACTGGTTGTCCACTTGATGGAAGGAGGATCATCTACCACGGGTGAACAAACAAATTGCGACTTGACGCGTTATGTTAAAAAAGAGGCAAACCATGTGGGGCCTACCTTAGAGGCAAGGCTGTATACACTGGAGTACTTTTGATGTGTCCCGTTAACTCGCAGAATGAGGAGAAGCTTTCTTAGTACGCCGTCTCCCCCACCCACGGGCGCGATGGCTCGCAGGATGAGGTGAAGCTTGCTTACTAGTACTGTACGCCTTACGCCCGCTCCCTCGCCCACGCGCGCGGTGGCTCGCAGGACGAGGAGAAAATTTTACTACTCCCTCCGTTTACTCCTTGTCCCTACCTTGGTTAGACAGATTATCATATTGTTTGGAATATATAATGTCCTTTAGTAGATTTCAATATGAACTACTAGTACATACTCCAAACACTAATGTATATAGACGTATTTTAGAGTGTAGATTCACTCATTTTGCTCCGTATGTAGTCCATATTGAAATGGATGTAATAGTACGCACTCTCCCTCACCCCTCGACCCTCGCCCACGTGGTGGACGTGCAACAATTCATTCGGTCTCATATAGCCAGAACGATATATACTGCAGTAGCATTATTGCTCGACTTCACGAAAAGGCGAAGAGCTAATCGCAAGGTTAATATTTTGGAGATGCCAAGCGCAAGGTTTATAGAAGAATGAGTAGTAGGTGCCGCATCATTTATAAATAAAGTTTTTTTTCTTCAATGGCACGTATGCAATATAATAGGTTCATATGGAGAGAAAAGGAAACTGCTCCACTATATACATATTCAGGATGGGCCAGCCTACATGCTTGCTTGTTGGGGTTGCTCTCTTCACACTCTCTCTCGCAAAAAACAATTGTGGCCACATCTCTAACATCCCGGCGGATCACGTCCGCCGGGGAAGGGGTGGATGCTTACTGTAGATGCAGTCGCCATCGCCGACGGCGAAAATCCACTGTCGGCCCGTCCTGATCAGGGGTCCCCGCCGTGGAGTCCATCCCAAAATAATCATTTTACCATGGACAATCGGTCAAAACAAACGGTGCAGTGTAGAATGTAAGACCTGTCTAACAGAGAAAATTCTTCCACTCGTGAGCGTGCCGACACTTCCTACTAATATCAGCACACTTAGAAGTCAGCACTCAGATGGAAGAACCACCAGTTGCTTGGTAAATATAAATCTTTTGAAGAACATAACCAGATGATTTTGTCTTTGTAGAAGCACAAGACCTATCTGTGTCGTTTAAAAGATAATATCACTACAACGAGCAATAGTTTCTGTAACAGAGACTGATTGTTGTTTTGACAAAAGGTTTCTAAGCAGAGACCAAGGAACTGTTAGTTCACAATCAAATGATTTGACACAATTACAAATAAGGAGACATAATGGTTAACAAGCTCATTTTTAAGGCTCCATTAAGCATTGCATAATTTTCAAAAGAACATGCATATTTCTAATCTGGATGCAACAATAGGTCAAAATCATCTTTTCTATGACACAACAGTAAAATGTTACTATAGCCAGTAAATAATCCCCAAGCTAATTAAAATCCAACACACAAGCATCGCAACCACAAACGGGCTCTGATTACCCAACCAAGTGCCTAATGGAAAATGCAAGAAGTGTGATTCTGGTCATTTTCAACATCCTGTGCGTATTCTACTGATATATGAGCACAATATGTATATATATCTCACCATAACCATATGCCACTATTTTTGTAGAAACCAAAGACTTGTCTGTATGTTTTAAAAACGGTTTTCTTAATGCGGACCAAGGAACTGTTAGTACACAATCCAATGGTCTGACACAATTACATGGTTCTAATCTGGGCACAACATTAAGTCAAAATCATCTTTTTTATCACACAACAGTAAAATCTTACTAGACCCACAAATGAGCTCTTGGTTACACAAACAAGTCCCCTAATATGGCAAAAGGTGAGAAGTGTGATTCTGGCCATGCATTTTCAACGTCTTATGTATATCCTATTGATATGACAATCATTATGCCTATAGCTCTCAACATAACTAGACACCATTGTTTTTGTACAAACAAAAGACTTATTTGTGTCTTTTAATAGAAACTATTAGTACAACTAATGGTAGTTTCCGTAGCTGATACTGAGTGTTGTTTAACAAATGGGCTTCGTGACATAAACCAAATACTATCAATACTAGAGTCAAGGAAAAAATAGCGTGCTATACAAAATAGCGCAGCCCCTGAAAGTATGCTATCAGCAAGACATTGTACACAATAAATTTAGCGAGACAACTCTTTACACACTATAGCATGCTATTAGCGGCGCCATAGTCTATGTTTTCAAGGCGTCTAGGCGCTTTAAGGCGCTTGGGGGGGCTCAACTCCTAGGCGCTTGGGGGGGCTCAACTCCTAGGCGCTCAAAGCGCGAGGTGAGGCGGCGCCTTAGACAAGAATTAGGGGAACTAATGAGCAGCCATGAGTAGACATGTAATTGATTCATACCTTGAATTTCCTGGTTGTTGAGCCCACATAGCATCCATTCCTCCCATCTTGTTTCCCATTTGTTCCTTCCACAATAGAAGTCTGCATAAAGATGAACATATATCATATATGGTTAAAACTAGACTTAATTAAAAGACCACCATTAGTAAAAAACAGAGAGTAAATGACAGAACAAATGCAAAACAAGATGACAAACATGAGTGCATTACATATTACATAAACTAGGTCCATAGCACAAAATAAATTAGGTTCACAAGTTCATAACATAAATTAGGTTCCAAACAGGCAAACACATGATCATAAGCAAGGCTGGCCACACTCAATTCTCAATAGCCATCATCGAACTCATCCATGGCAGTATTTGTGTTGTCTTCGCCATCTTGGTCAGCACTAGTTGGATCTTCATCATCATCGGTCACATCAACATCATCTTGAAGAAAGTCTGAATCATCATCCTCTCCATTGGGGATACTTGATTGTTGTTTTTGGTCATCCTCTTCGTCATCTTCATGAAGAAATGTTCGAGACGGAGCAGCCCTTTTGCGCTGCCTTTGGTACTGTACATTAACATTTGAGGGGCCCCTTGCCATGGTGCTAGCTCTAGGAAAGTTGCGACCTTGCAGCGAAGAACTTGCACCAACAGCCTCATCAACAAGTTCCCATGAAATGTCATCAGGACACCCTCGAGCACCTTGGGGTGGAGCTATTGTTGGGTCAACGCACTCATTGCCCCAATCAAAATCCTCAGTGACTAGAGGGTCATAGCCATTGTCACTCATCTTCTCACGCCTCTTTTGAAACCTATCCATGTTCTTTCGGATGTATGAAACAAAGACATTGTCATTCAAGATTCAGTGTTGTAACCAGTTCCTTTTCTTGGTATGGATCTACAAATAGCAAATAGAGTGAATAAATAACTTGCTGCGATTACTTGCTGAAAGTAACTTTCTCTTGATGAAATAAAGACAAAGAAGTTACTCACATGTTCAAATGCGCTCCAATTCCTCTCACAACCGGATGATGAAGCACAAAGACTAACAGTACGCTTTGCAAACCTTTGTAGCTCAGCTGCCCAACCACCATATGAACGCCACCAATCAACTAAAATGGTAAAATAAACACACACATGCATTAGGAGTTTGTACTTTGTACAGAAAATAACATGATGAAAATTAACTTGCTTGTTGCTGAAATTAACTTTAGTTCACTTATGAGGTTTTTTTTGGACCATGTTATCGATTGCCATCCGATTAGCAAAGGGGCGTTCAAAATTAGGGCATCATCACCACTCTCAACAATAGAGAAGTATTTTCCAGGGTTCAAAAACAAAGCAGCCCCATACAATGGATGATCCATTTTATTCTCCCAACGTTTGTCAACAATGTCAATGATCTTCTTGAGCAAAGCTTGCTTGTTTTGGTGGGGAAAACCTTGATTGATCTTCTCTTTTGCAAACCTCATTAGTGATGTCATTTCTGGCATGGCAGGAATCTCATCACCATCCGCTACCCTAAGCACTCGAAGTAGTGGACCTGAAGCTCTAAGACAGTCCTCAATTGCATGCCACCAATCTGCTGAAAGCACAATATCTTGCACATTCAGCCCGGCTGCAGTTTTGGCCAATTTGTTTCCAACCCATGCTTGAAATGTAAATAGACTCCCTCAATGCTTGCTTCTGCTTGACCAAACTCTTAAGAGCAAGAATGGATGTGGCAAAGCGAGTGGCTGCGGGTCTCACAAGATCCAGCCCACCCGTTGCCTTCCTCATTAGACTAAGAATTCTGCCATGCCTATAGATGAAAGTGGTTACTCGTCTACCCCGTGCAATAGGCTTCTTAAATGCCTTTAGCTTCCCTATATCTTCCAACATTAGGTCCAAGCAATGGCATGCACATGGACTCCAATATAGTGTAGGAATCCTTTGCATTAGTATCTTGCCCGCTGCCTTCTAGTTAGCACCATTGTCGGTGACAACTTGGACAACATACTCTTTACCGACATCCTCAATTCTCTTCTCTAGCAAATCTGCTAATCCGAGCATCTTGGCATTCACTTGATGCATCAACCGACTCCAAGAAGTAAGTGCCCGCCAGGCTGTTTATAAGGAAGTCGATCAAGTGGCGTCCCCTTCTATCGGACCAGCCATCTGTCATTAGTGTGCAGCCATATTGCTTCCAAGCTACCTCGTGCTTCACCCTCAACTATTTTGTTTCCTTGACACAATCCCTAAGCAATGGCTCCCGCAGCTCATGAGGAGAAGGAGGCTTCTAACCCGAGCCATATTGACAAGAGGCTTCTATTTTAATCTGGAATTGCCTAGAGCTTGCAACATTAAAAGGAATGCCACTCATAGAAAAACAATGCCCACGGCATACTCACATAGTGCATCTCTTCCGATGTTTTTGTGCTAGACTCCATGGTGCTTTGAGAGCAACCAGAGCGTCTTTCATCGACAACATCCTCAGGTTTTTTTCCTAAGCATGGAAACAATTGACTTGGTTGCAACAGATTAACACTTTCTGCCTGAAATTTTTACTGCAAAGGCTTTCTTGTTCTTCTTTGCTGTTGTCCTGAACTTGGTCTTGTAGCGGAGCCTTGAACTAGTTGAACTGCTGCTGCATTAGTGGAGCTTTGAACTGTCCCTGCTACATCTACCTCCACTACATCATCATCATCATCAGGTTGTCCTATGTTTCTCCTGTTCTTTTCCAAATATTGTAACATCTCCCTCCTAAGTTGTGTGGTAGCCTTTGGACAACCTGTTGCATCCCCACCAGTACCAGTGTCTCTTGATCCCTCCAGAAGTTATCTTGCCACAAAGATTGCACACAACATTATTGATGTTGCCAGGTTTTAACCAATACCCATAATTCCAGCCTGGATCATTTGAACTCCGTGGCCTGCGTTCTGGATCTTTCATTGGATCATAAGCATCACCACCCCCATCAGCTCCTGCATCTGCCATTGTGGGACTGCAAAGTGCAAAGTGCAAACAATTAACAATATAATAGAGGGCAGAGGACAAACAACTAATATTCTAACCTACTATTTTAATCAGCTAACCTACTATTCTAATCAGCTAACAAGGACAATCAGCAACTATTTTAATCACAACTTGCAGCTAACAGCCTAACACTACTATAATAGAGGGCAGAGGGCAGAGGCATAAGCAGCACATCTACACATGCTAACAACCTAACACTACTATAATAGAGGGCAGAGGGTGAGGCACAAGCAGCAGCACCATCAGAAAACATGGGCAGGTGAATGGATAAGAGAGGCAGAGAGGAGCCTTACCTTGGGAGAGGGCTGCCGGCGGCGGAGGAGCTTGGCCGGAGAGGGGGAGGGCCGGCGGAGATGGATCTTGGATGGAGAGGGGAAGGGCCTGTGGAGGAGGAGCTTGGCCGGAGAGGGGGAGGCCGGCAGTGGAGGAGCGGATCTGGGCCAGTGGAGGAGCTCCTCTCTCTTTTCCCCTCGATTTGGAGTCACTGGTGTGTTTCCCTCTCTCTCTCCTGCCTCTATTTACCCCCTCTTTCCCGCCCAATTCCTGGTTCTGGCGCGGGCCAGCTACTGTTTCCTGCTCAAACCTGGCCACGCATGTCCAGGACGTCCGAAATCGACCAAAGCGGTGCCTTACCCGCCTAGGCGACGCCCTGGACGCCTCAAGAGCACAAGGCGGACGCCTTAGAGAGGAAACTAAGGCGATGACGACGCATTGACGTCCCCGAGTGCTCTGACGCCTAAGCGTCCCCTAGGCGACACCTTGAAAACATAGGCCATAGTACGCTATTTTTTCATTGGTAGAGTGATAGTTTCTGTAGTTGAACCGACAGTTGTGGAACAAACGGGTTTCGTTAACGAAACCAAGAAACTGTCAGTTAACAATCTAATGATCTGACATGATTACGAACATGGGTCTTCTCTAAGCATTTCAAATGAACTGCAATCAGGTTTCTTAATTAAAAAATGGAAACAAGGGAACCTTCAGTCCACAATTCTATGATCTGACACAATGACAAACATGGCACTGTTCTAAGCATTTCAGCCCAGCATCAGTAGTGACGGGACAACAAAGTCACTAGAGGTATACCACACATACCTTGGATTTTAGGCGTTTTTCTCCTTGAGATCCTTGTTATATATCTCATTGTGTAAGTCCATGATCTTGCAAACAGGAGGCTCTCATTTTCAATGGACCTGCATGGTCAACACGATAACCATGAGAAATGAACATGCAAACACTTTGGCACAACTAAAGAAGAATATGAAAATGCAGTACTACCTCGACCAAGTATTAAGTCGCCCATCCTTACAGTCATCTAAAGAGCCTCATGCCTGGGTACAACATTATGCCCTGCAAAATTGAGACATGTCATGGTTAGCATCCGAATGGTGAATGGATAAGAAAACAACATAATCCTTACTAAGAACTGAAGAGAAAACAAGTGGTATCTAACAGGAATAAATTTGGTGATTCATAAAAATCACAAACAAGCAACACAATATTACACTCAGTTTCTACTCTTTTCCAGTTTGTCTGATAACTCCAGAGGAGGTATTGTCTAACGCTATTCAAACTGGCTCCTTATATTACACTCTTATATGATAAAACTTTAACATGGTGATAACTCTAGGTAACAAAAATCATGTGCTCAAACTTCACAATGCAATGCTACACTGATGAAAGCGCAAAACAGTACTCAACAGGGGTGCTCAAGGCGTGCATGTCAAAGGCCATGTGTCAATGTGTCAACATGAACAACATGTGAAAGGAAAGACCATGTGACAAACAAAACTGTGAACTCAGAATCGGCAATCTCATTAAATTTTAGGATGGAATACATCAAGTTAAATTGAAAGAACATATATTAGATCAATGAACCTTAAGGAAAAAGACTCAAATGGGATTTCCTACAAAGTTGTTTAGCATGTGCTGACATCGCTGTGATACAGGTCTGTGTGTTGACAAACTACAGAATCTTATTTGGTGTCATCCTGATACAGGAACAATGTGAGAAAATGAAGACAAGGACAAAAGATCGAGATGTCAATCAGACAAGGACATGATTTTGGGACAAGAAAATAGTCAAACAGACCACAAAAACCACATATGTAGAACAGAAACACACATAGAATTAAAGTCAGTGACAACAGACGCAAGAGCTCCCATAAACTAAAGCAACAGAATTCCTTAATTAAGGAGTGTCAATGTGTCAACATGAAACAAACAGACCATGTGATAGTCATCCAGAACATGAAATCAACGGAGTCAAATTCAACTCTAAGGTCCAGAATGCATCAAAAAAATTAAAAGAAAATTAGATCAGTGGACCTCAAGAAAAAAGATTCGAGGAGAGTCCCTATGAAGGTGTGTATTTCTGCTATAGTGGTTTGTATTTTGACAGAAAACTACATCATCTTATTTGGTGTCATCCTAATACATAGCAAGTGTGGGGAAAATGCAGGTAAACTGATCCCACGCCATTAGAAACAGATTGAGGAGCTAATAGCTAGACAATGCAAAACCTCAAGTCTGGTTACTGCTACCTGTAACACATCAATTAAGGGGCAGGAACCCCATATGCAGAACCAAATCATGCACATCAATCATCAATCAATCAATCAAAAACAGGAAAGTTTGAGACCAATCAATCATGTAATAACTTTACTTAATAGCTATGTTCTCGAATCTATTCAACAAAATAACATCCCTCATCATCATCCAACTACACATTGCATAACATCTATACAAGCCTTGGTAAATGATTCACGGCTCAGA